TCTTCTCAATGGATTATTTTTCCATAGCATGGGATCCGTGGATGTTTCCTTTAGATATTTACCACGTTTTATCAGTCTTTGTGAATTTTCATTATCTAACTCTTTATAACAATAATCAACTAAGGTAAAAATCGGTCGATTTCTTGGTATGAAATCTGTCACCAATGTGTTCTGAACTGAATTGATTAACTGTATCAATCTGTCACCAATGTGTTCTGAACTGAATTGATTAACTGTATCAATCTGTCACCAATGTGTTCTGAACTGAATTGATTAACTGTATCAATCTGTCACCAATGTGTTCTGAACTGAATTGATTAACTGTATCAATCTGTCACCAATGTGTTCTGAACTGAATTGATTAACTGTATCAATCTGTCACCAATGTGTTCTGAACTGAATTGATTAACTGTATCAATCCAGTTTGTAACACTAGTCATTCTTATCTTTTAGGCAACGGGACATGGAAATGTTCATTTATGGACCTTAATAATACCTTCAATTTTTATTCCATATATGGTCGATTTAATATCGAGTAGTTTGTATGTATATTAGGTTATCTAATGGACATAACTCTCGTGTTAAAAACAAGATACTCTGAATTGTATTTTTTTTCCTCATTTTAAGTTTTATATTGTTACATTACTCTTAGGAATACGAGATCATGTGTTTTATCCATGACAGAGAGCACCCCATCCCCACTCCCCACATGTAACAACAAAAACGGTGTGTATAATTGACTGTGTAAAGTCTACATATATAGAGCTTGTTTGTGAATGATTTTGAGACTTGATTTTTGACCGTTAGAGGAAAAGTGGGGTCCATTTGTGAGAGAAGAAGTCAAATATAACGGCTGGAATAGTGAAATAACGGTCAAAAAATTAATTTTTTGGGAGAAAAAATCGCTCCCAAACAGGCCCATATAAATACTATTCAGGTATTGTGTCAAGGAGAAATTAGTTTAAGCATGGATGTCTGCTGAATAGCAATGGTCACTGAAGTTAGGCAAGCGTTGGTTGGTCACGTTGTAGGCTTAATAAGAGTCCGTCTATCCTATAACGTTGCATTTACATTTATGTCGTTATAATTTCATTTTTTTTTTCAATTATGTCTTTAATGTCTAATTGGTTTAGGAGATCCAGTAATATTTCAAATACTATTCATAATGAAGAAGAGATAGATCATTAGCATTCATCTGCATTTGATACATTCAATTCTCGTGAACTTCAAATTGCAAAAATTGAACAAAAATTACATAACTGGACTACTCCAAAGGTAGACAAAAGTGCTTTGTATGAAATAGAAAGTTTGATTTTCATCAAAATTATGTTATCAAAACTCTAAAGCAAACAATTGCTATCAAGCATCAATCTGTTCAAATGAATCTTTTTTTTTAATATTTTATTTTAGAAGATACTATTTAATCTCATAGGAAGAAATATTTCCATGTGGGATTAATTGAAACGGTTGTCGAACATTTGTTTCGATTTGATTTAGACATTCTTATTCTTTTAACTCTTAGAGATAAAAGACTTCTCAAGTTTGAAAATTCAGTATTATCTATTTTATAATCAAATCTTGAAAGTGGTTCGATCTTTTCAAATTGTTATCCAATCTTCATTATCAATCTTAATGATGGAGTGATTCTTAATGTTCTACATTACAGATGACAGTGGGTCAGGTTCCGGGTGGGGCATCCTTGCCTCGCCAACCCGTCAAGGCTGGTTTTTTGGCCCCATTCAGGGCAGGGTGAGGCGGGTTATTTTGCCATTTCTACTCTAAATCTTCATATTAAAAAAATAAAAAATAAAAAAAAAACTTGATTTTGATGATATTTCAAAAGCTTTTAGCTAGAATTGATATCAATTTTGATCATGAAACCTCTTCATCCAAAGAAAAAGGAGAAGAAAAGCAACTTCTTATTTTCAAACAAATTAATTCTAAATTCTCCCCACAATTGGGTAAAGAAATTGAATCTAGTACATTACAAGATCTTGCAAAACAAATTTCAAAGATAGGATAAAAAAAAAAAGTATTAATATAATTGATGTCATCTTAAAACTCAATTTATTGAGAATGAAAAACCTTCTATCAATAAACTGTCAAAATTCAACACTTCCTAATTATTATTATTGTCCTTCTCATCCTGATATGTTATATGAGGAGAAGAGACCACAATTTTCCTATCGACGAAGAACTAGTTGAATGGAATTTTGATGGAACGATAGAATATCAAATTCTCAATTTTCTAGAAGCTATTTGTCACGTTGCTTACATAGGCAGATGAATGTCTGCTAATGATGCTATGACAAATTTAACTTATAGTTTCACTGGACAACTCAAAAATTGGTGGGACAACTATCTCAACGATGAAGATCGTCTTAAGATAGCCACTGAGTTCAATGCTCAAATGCAAAATGATAGTTTCAACGCTCTTGTTTACTCTATACTCAATCACTTTGGAACTCCTGATCCTCTTCGAGATGGATAATCTGAAATTCTTATGAATCTTAAATGTCCAAAACTTCTTGATTTTCGCTAGTATAAAGATATATTCTTAACTAGAGTTCTCAAGAAAGAAGATTGTAATCAATCTTGCTAGAAAGAAAGGTTTACCTCAGGACTTTTCAAGCTTTTTGCAGAAAGAGTTAGGAATTCCACCAAACTCAAACATAATGATTCTATTCCATATGCTCTTCTTACTTATGGTGAAATTATCAATTTCGTTAGTAAGGAAGGATTAGCATTTATTTAATGATCTCAAACTCAAAGCCAAATTAAAATCTGAAAGAATTGGAAGTAGTAAAGAATTAGGTTCATTCCGTGAACAATATGGTTTTGAACATATTACTCCTCCATCTTCAAAGATAAAAAGAAAGGAAAAACCTTTTTCTTTTCTGAGGAAAAGTTCCTTTCAAAAAATAGAAATTCTCTCAAAATTATCCTCCTAAATTTTCAAAAAGAAAGTTTTCAAAGAAACGAGTTCCCAAAACCTCTAATGTTACCTGTTGGAAATGTAAGCAAATAGGTCATTATTCCAACAAATGTCCTATGAAGGGAAATATTAGTAATCTTCAAATTGATGAAAATGTTAAGCTAGAACTTCTCAATCTTATCAATTCCAGTTCAAGTGATAAATCTGACTCTATTCTTGAATTAGTTTATCAACATTAAAAAATTCCTAATGTTGAAATCAATTCAAATTCCTCTTCTTCAAGTCAAGGACAAGAAATTTGTGGTTATAAAACTAAAAATGTTTTTACTAAAGAACAAGAACTCATTCAAGAAATAGCTGAGAAAATTTAAGATCCTCGTGTGTGTGTGTGTATTCATCTTAATACTTGCTTTTAATTTTCTTTTTTCGTTCATGCGTGTTTTGTGAAAATGAGCTTGCCCTCAGTTTGGCTTAGAATTTGGTAATTGTGGCACATTCTCAACCAAGAAAATGGTAGGCTTGAGTTTAGCCCCCACAATAAAAAAAGAAAAATAAATAGTTAAGAAGGAAATAATTGATATAAATTGGTTTTCCTTATTAGTTATACCCTCGAGCCCCAATAAAAAAACAAAATATCTCATTTTGGAAAGATAAGATTACACTGTTGAAAATCAAGGTTTTAAAATTCAAAAACACTATATTAATGGAGTTAGGTAGTGTAGCTTGAGATCTAGGAACAAAAGGAATAAGGAAGGCATATATATTTAAAGCTCCAAAAGCAGTAGTTAAGCAGTCAACTTAAGAAACATCATCATTTGTTAAATGATGTCAAATTTTTATACAGAAAAGACAGTAGTTAATATTCAGAAAGAGTGTAATTTTAGAGAGACCCTCCCTTGTGAATTCTGACCATTGAGAACTTCAAAGAGAACAGTCAAAAAGGCGGAATCAAAACAACTGTAGAAGCTTTGAGAAGAGCAGTCCACTGTGCACAATTTCAGCTTCTCACTTTTTGACATTTGCCTTCCCTTTATTCACTTTACACTTGGCTTAAATTCAAATAGATAAATGTGTAGATTGACTAATGTTAGTCTAATAGTCTCCATTCACTGTAGGTTTTTTTTTTGTACATTTTGATAAAAGTTGGTAAAAAAAATGAGGTTGAAAATTATCTTATGAATTGTTTAATTAAAACTAATTATTGATTTTGATTTAAATTTTTATCTACCTTTATTACTACCTACAACATGGACTCTATAAACATAAGTTATGCTTAACACTAATTTATGCGATAGTAAAATCGTTGTCTGTATAGTTTAGGAATCTGATTCAAGCATAAGAGCACGTCTCCAATACTTCAATAGATTGCACAAAAAATTTGCAACATAAGCAAAAATTAAATATTACTAACAAATTCTATCTAATATGAGGACATTATCAAGCTGACATGACAAAGAAAAATGAAAATTTGTAGAAGTTTTATGTAATTTTAGAATCCGTGTTAGACAGATTAATTCATCAACGATTTTTAGACAGATTAACTCATCAACTTTTATATATGCTACACAAATTAAGATGTCGTTTTGTTTTTTACTTTACGAAAATAAAAGACACCTAGATAGCATTATTTAGCTATAGGTTGAAGATCATTGGAAACCAATTTTGATTTGAGTCTCTATTTAACGTCATCTTTCAACTTGCTTGCTACCTATATATATATACCAATCTGTATCATTTGAGATGCTCAGTCATTTATGAAAGCTATGTCCATTTAAGTTAAAATATGAAAATCAACAATTAATTTTAACTATACATTTCATCAATTTTTATCTAAATTTACTAAAATTCTGATTTTTAACTATTCCAAACAAGGGCTATATATGTGCTCACGACTTTGATAGAAGTTTAATAATGACAAAAGTGTGTTGAAAGTTATATTTAAATAAAATAAATGTGTTAATTGTGTAGAGTTGGCTGAACAATCCATTCCTCTGCAGTACAACATTATTCATTGCCATCGTACCCTATACATAAATTTATCAGCATCCTGTACATGTATACTATACGAGAAAAAGACTGAGAAAGAGAGCTTTACACTGCATCAGTTGAAGCAGGGAAATGGGTCCATTGTCCTCTAAATAAATTCAAAACCTCTTTTGTTAAGAACACGATCCGGGTCTGTCGCTCCTTTCAGCCTTGGCCCCTTCTCTCTTCGAATACAAAGGAATAGTGAGTGTATGGTCATGGATGATGAAACTGGAATGGCCGATCTGAGGCAATACATGAACCGGAGGCCTTTCTTTCCACCGATTCCTCCGGCAACCGACCTGTTATCCGGCCACCATCCCGGGTTGACGCAGCCGCAGCAGTACGACATGTTCATGATACCACCTGGACTTCAGCCGGCGTTTAGGTCTGATTCTACTACTAGTAATACTACTGCTGGTGGTGGTTCGTCTAGTAGTGCTGGTGGTTTTGGTGGGTTTGAGTTAGAGGGTGGTGGGCTTAATGGTTGTGGTGATGGTGGCACTGGGCGGTGGCCTAGGCAAGAGACGCTTACTCTTCTTGAGATCAGATCGAGGCTCGATCCCAAGTTCAAGGAGGCCAACCAAAAGGGTCCTTTGTGGGATGAAGTCTCAAGGTATATGTATTTAAAAGTTTTCTTTATCAAACTGTGTTGCCTGTGGCAAGAAAACAATTGAAATCTTGCCAATTTCATCAAAGATTTTCATCTTCCAAATGTCATTTTACACTTTACAGTCACAAACCCTTAAAACCTTTTTTTTTCTTGGGTGGGAGTCACTTCAATTATTTTCTTGATTTCCTTTCTTTTGATGTGTGGGGATATTGAGTGGATTTCTCCTTAGAAAGCTTAGTGTCCCCAGTGTTTTCAGTTTCTCACTGGTTTATGTACATCATATATTTTGTCATAATTGAAATTAAACCACGATCCCTCTTATCCTCCCTCGCGATACGGTTCAGTCTGGCTTGTCCCTAACACTGGACTTCACCAAAGATGTATCGACTAACTCGATAAAACGATGAACTCTCTTCTTACTTTCCAAAATTTTGTTCTAGAAAATGACAGTGCACAGTTTTTTGAGATTCAGCCGTTGCTTTTATTCTGGCATTTTACCAAGAGGCAACAGACAACTCACAATTACTTCTATGAATCTTAAATCGAGGATCTTTCAAGAAATTTGTTTATTTTGGTCTAAAACAAGGGCTACATTTTTTGGGATTTAGAAATAATTTTCTAGTTTTGTTTTCTTGAAAAGACCTGAGAAACAGCTCTTTCAAGTTCCTCAGACAACTATCTGTAAAAACATCGAACAGTCATATCAAATTAACGTTGTTGCTATTCACTTCAGAATCGATAAAACTATACAAGATTGTCTATCCTTTGCATGAAGATTTTGGATTATTTATTACTAAAAATAGATAGGGTTCTTAATTTTATCACTCCAACTCCATTTCTTGATATTGCAGAGTTAAATTTCTCCATTATATGCTTCTTCTTTTTTCTTTTTTCCAGGATTATGTCTGAGGAACATGGATATCAGAGGAGTGGCAAGAAATGCAGAGAGAAGTTTGAGAATTTGTACAAGTATTACAAGAAGACTAAAGAAGGCAAGGCAGGTAGACAGGATGGCAAGCACTATAGATTTTTTCGCCAGCTCGAAGCGCTCTATGGTGAAATCAGCAATACAGTCCCAGTCTCGGAAACACATCTTGCCGGAAGCACTTTTCGATATAATATATCCAACAATAACGTTCTAACACCTAATCAGCAAGAAGCCCTTCAGGCTCCAAAGCTCTCAGATACTAGCCTTAGTCTATCTAATTCTTCTGATTTTGATACTACGTCATCAGATGGAGGAGATGTTAATGGAGGAACAAACGATGACTCGAGTGGTAATAGGCAGAAGAAAAGGGGTAAGAGGAGGTGGAAAGCAAAGATAAAAGACTTCATTGACGCACAAATGAGGAAACTGATGGATAAACAGGAGGCTTGGATGGAGAAAATGATGAGGACAATTGAGGACAAAGAACAAGAGAGGATTATAAGAGAGGAAGAATGGAGGAAACAAGATGCAGATAGAATAGAAAAAGAGCACAAGTTTTGGACTAATGAAAGAGGATGGATCGAAGCACGGTATGCTGCACTAATGGAAGCTATACGAAACGTTACTGGTAAAGATCTTAAGGCTTCGCCGTCCGACGAACTGATGGCAGCAGAAACTCGAAGTCTAAGTGAAAACCAGAATAACGATGAAAAGGGAGATATCTGGCCGGAATGTGAGATTACTAGGCTAATCCAATTGAGAACTAATTTGGACTCAAGGTTTCAACAAGGTGGAATTTCAGAAGAAGTTCTGTGGGAAGGAATAGCAACAAAAATGGCTTGTTTTGGATATGACAGGAGTGCTTTAGTCTGCAAAGAAAAGTGGGAGAGTGTCAATAATTATGTAATCAAGTGCAACAAGAAAAGAAAGGAGAATCCAAAACCCTGTTTATATTACTGTCAGAATAATGAGTCTATAAGCAATAATCATGGAGGAGCCTTTTGTGATAATACCAGTGGACTAGGGCCTGAGACTTCACCTTCTAATAGCAACACAGGAAATGCAATGAATGATAGCTGCTTTAGGTACTTTATGGGTGATGATCATAACATGTGGGAGAATTATGGACTGAAACTCAACAAATTAGGATAGAAAAATCAGATCAAGATATATAATCTGCATCAGATTGTTTCTGATCAATTTAGGAAGAGATTATAAGCAGCTGATGAAAAGAGGAGGCAACTGACATATTGTGTTGACTTGTGACTTGGACTTGGAAGGTGAGAAATTTAACTCTAGTGGCTTTTTGTTGCTTCTCTTTGTTGTTGTATTAGGCTTATTTGTTGATTATTCTGCATGCAGTTTATAATTTCAAGGTAATATTTGCAAAAACTTTTCTTCCTTTCATGTATTTGCTTAAGATTGTGAGCAGGCAACAGATTATTTATCATGTATGATTGTCTGAATAATAACTTATTTGATCCCTACAATTAAACTTATATGTATTCGAGCTTAGTTAATCTGCCATGAAAAATTAGATGTTATATTAATATAGTATTTAAACACTCCAGCTTAAGCTTTTAAATGAAGAGGTGCAATATGGTATGAGAGTACACAAAGATGTTAAGTTCTAGTGTTGCATCTAAAAAAATTGCACGTGTTAAGTTTCTTATGAAATATTGAATTTTGCCTAATTCAAAATTTTAAGGGGAAAAAATCATTTTTTTTTTCAAGTAAATTTTTTTTTCTATATTTATATTTTTTTACATATTAGCCTGGCTTAAGTTTGTTCTTGAGTCAGATCCTAGATCTACCCCTGATTAAGATGCTGAACAAGTGCAGCTCTCACGTTCGATTACCATCACTGAGTTTGAAACTCTAAAGAGACAAGTGTATAATAAGTCAAAGAAATGTGAGGATGATGTCTAGGTACCCATTATGTACTATGCAAAATATATACTACAATGATTGGGACAAAAGGACGTGGAAATTTGTCTAATTTTAGGTTCAACGTGTAACAAAGTTCTTGGTTTAAACCTATCCCCATTTGGTTGAGATAAAAATAAAAAATTCAAACACACTTTAAAATTTTAATATATTTTTCTCTCTCTTTTTTTTAGTCACACATTATTTAATAAAATAATATTATACGTAAATAAAAAAATTTCTCTTCTGTTTTAACAACCCATTCTCCCAAAAAATATCATTCCATAATACATTTTACCAAAATTTATTGAGTAATGCTATTTGATCTTACTGAAATTGCAACCCCAATTTAGGTGTCACAAAATGATTATTGAAATTAAATGACTCATTTAATGACTCATGATTATTGAAATCATTTTTATTTAGTATACTATCTATTGCCACCTAAATGTCATTGCAACCTCCAGTGGGACTACATTAGGGATGTCAATGAGTCGAGATGAGTCGAACCACTTGCGAATCGAAAATCAAGGCTCGAGCTTGGCTCGAGTAAAATCAAATGGGCTTTTTTTGAGCCCGAGTCGAGCAAGAGCTCAACCAAAAAAACAAGGCTCGACCCAAGCTTTTGGCTCGGGCTTTAACGAGTCGAGTCGGGCCGGCTCGATTTTCTCTCTCTCTCTCTTTTAATGGGCACTCAAGGCAGCAGCTAGCTGCCTTTTTCTTTCCTTCGTTTTCCTTTTTTTTTTTCTTATATTTATTTAAGGCCCAACCCCAACCTGACGAGCCCCACGGGCCGGCTCGGGCTAAGCCCGAAACTTCAAAATGGGGCTCGGCCCGAGCCTTGGCTCGATTCCATAGAGCTTTGAGTTGAGCCGACTCGGGTTTTTTTGGGCCGAGCTACGAGCAGCCCGAGTCGATGAGCCCAATTGACATCCCTAGACTATATAACATTATTTAAATTTCTCTTTATAATGGGGCTCAAACAAGGGCTAAAAGTTGATGAAATATGTAATTGAGGACAGGGGCTGAGCCAGCACCTGACAAGGGGTCACGACCACGCGTCCTGGCTCCGCCAGAGTCTTCAATAGCCGCTGGGTTCCACTTCCAGACTTCCAATTGCAGAGCCGCGAGGGAAGAAGGAAGCCGAGAGGAAGATGATGAAATTTTGAAATTGGGTCTTCTTTTTTTTTAAGTTTAGGCCTTTTTGTTTGGGCTAATGAGTTGGGCCTCCTTTTTTTTTTTTTTTCCCCTTTTTAAATATTAGACCCAATCCAGGGATAACTCCCCATTACCCACCCATGACACGGCCATTCCAATTCCAATTCCAATTGGGGACAATTAGACAAATCGTAGCTAACCCTTTAGTTCTCCTTCTCCCTGCTTGTTACTATCGGCGATTTGCAAAGTGAAGTGACAACTCAAATTTGCTGATTGCCGCTTCTGCCGACAGAAGATGAGTCACTGCAGACGCCGACCTTTCCAAATTCCAATTTTCCGTCTACGACTCTAGTTGTGTCTGTAAGCGCCTTTCTTTCCTTTTCTTTTTTTCCCCCCGATTGTTGTTCTGTGTTCTTAGTTAATTTTGTCATCTTTGTTCACACTTCACATTAACTGATAAACATATAGTTCATTTATTTATTTATTATTTATGATTATGAGTTATAATTTATAGATCTTGATTTATGTTTTAAAAATAATGCTTGTGGTATACCAAGGTGTCCAAAATGGACACCTAGCACCTCGATAAAGGACACAGTTTTGTACCCCAAGCATAACCGATGTTTTAAGAGTTATGATTGAGAAATGAGAATTGTGAATGTGTTTTATGATAAATTATTTATGAGTTATGATTTATGATTTATTTTTGTTCAGTGATTTTGGAACTTATGTTTATGAAATTAGGATAAGTGGAAAAAAAAAAGAGAGACAATTTAGTGCATTTACATAAAAATTGAAGAATTTTTAATATTATTTAATTAAATATTAATTAATGAATCTTCTATTACGATCTTTAATTGTTGACGGTCAAAGTCAAAGGTCAACGGTCCGCCCTAACTGACCTCGGATCCTAGATCTGTCCCTGATTGAGGAGATGTGGATTCGATAAAATATGTGGTTATAATTAATTATTGATTTAGATTTTAATCAATTTTCAACTACACCAAAGGGCAGTTTCATTGAATTGAGGTCTCTATCATTTTGCATTTTTAACATGGGTTTTCATTTTTTTACTTAAATTTGTAATCTCACCAACCTCTCATATTTCAAACAAGAAACTTTAGTTTTTTCTAGAGCTGCAAAATATTTTAGCATTCCACAACCTAGCGAGAACAAAATTGGAAAACACAGATGACAATGTGAATAATATAGAAAGATGCTAGAAAAATTGCAAATAAGTCAGTTGAGTGGAAAGACACCATAATTGGTAACACAGTCAACAATATCAAGATACAGTCAAAGACAAAGGATTATAAATCAGTCCCACTTCCTTTTTCTTAATTTCTTGACTGCCAAATACACCCCTTATTTACCAGATGAAAATTTTACCCATTAAATTTACCGGAGATTAGTGAGAATATAAATGCATATTGGATTAGTGAGTATTGCTGTGCATGGCAGAAACAAGTACGAAAACCGTGCAAAAAGATTTATGACGTAAGCAAACATAGATTAGAAAGGTTACTTGGAGCCCTGGTAGTATTCTTGAACCTATTCACAAACTGACCAAAGCTGACAAAAATTTGAGAAATGCTTGGCAAACTGTTTAGAATTATTGCAAAAATTTACTCTCCTACCTGGAGTGGGGTAGGGGGTGTAGGTTGCTCCTACCTAAAGAAAAATTGCACTATTCATCTTCAATATTTTGGTCCCCTTGAACCTGCAAGTTGATCTTCGACTAAATTGGTAGCATCGTTAGCTCTTGTTTGGGCTCCATTAAAATCAAATTCTCAAAAAAAAAAAAAAAAAAAAAAAAAAAAAATTTTGGGATGTTATTTTTTTAAAAAGAATTTTGGGATCGTGATTTTTTAGAGAACGTGTGATTAAAAAAGAAAAAAAAAATTGGATTTAGGTTTAATATTATGTTATTGAAGAATGTGTTATTGAAAAGAAAAGAGAAAAATATATTTTGAATTAAATGGAGTCTATTAATGAAAATTGTCTTTTTTTTTCTTTTTTAAATTATTACACCCCAATAAAATTATGTTTCATTAAAAAGTTCTGGATATTGTTATAAATTAGGAGTAGGGTCTTGCTTTATAATGTTACATATTCGAATTATGTGACAATTTAACATAAATGCGAACAATTTCCATAGTGATGAATTGATTCTGCATTTATATTGAAAGAAAATTAGAAACTAACTTGAAGCAATATATTGAAAACTTATTGTTTAGTTTTCCCTATATACACAAGACACGATTCAGTGATTAGCAGTCAACGGAGTAACTTATGTTTTTTGAGAATTTGAAATTGTTTAGACAGTTCTTTATGGTGATATATACATACTTATATATATCCTGACACATTTGATAAATGTGTCATACTTTCTTCTCAGTATCTTAATTTGAACATTTTGATATTTTGCTTTCGATTAAACTATGATATTCACTTTTATTCTTCAAGATTAAACTTCTTTAATAACTTGTGCTTCAACGACAATAAAATAATTATAAAAAATCTTATACTCCCAATGCACCAAGATATTAATCAAGTTACAGCCGTCTCATACCAATCAAAACATTTTCAGAAAATTACTTAATCAGCTCTTACCAGTCAAAACATTTTCAAACAATTATCCGAGTTATTGATTTTTTCGAAAATCATGTCAAATGGCCCTAACTCTTTAATGCCTCAAGCTGTGAAGTTGAGTTCATTACTCGCACAAGATAAAGATATAGCATCTAACAATTCAGTGAAATTTAGTTAATGACATTGCTACATGTATACTAAGCTTTACATAATTAGTTACATAATGCCTTATGTCACTATATTATTTGTAAGTTTAAAACACAATCAACTTTTTCATCTAATATTTTTCCTTGACATCATTTTTTGTAATCTCTTATGTACCATTTGTATGTAAATCCAACCATTCTTGTACCAAATAAAAAATTTACCAGGTTTCAAATGAACTAGTTTTTCAATATAGAAAAGGTTCGTTCACTTATTTGCAACGTCAACCACAATATGAGCCGAATCAGAACTGATATCAATTGAAACTTCGAATAGAAAAACCTAATAAGATCAAGCTTAGACAAGAAACATGCCCAACAAGAAAACATCCCAATAAACAAAAACAAGAAGCTACTAAAACTAGACAACAGAAGCAAACGCAAAGAAACTGCTATTGGCACAATGCCATCAAATCTCACCATTTTGGTGTTTCTAAAAACAAGACTAGGGAATACATATAATAATTAGAAATTTGAGAATATGGCCGACTGTTGGGAATTTTACGTCAATTCCTTTTATTTCTATTTACTCATAGGATCTTTTGTTTTTCAAGAGAATATTAGCAAATAGGAAAAATAAAAAATATAATGCGCAAATTAAACGGGTCATCAAAGT